CAATGACAGAAAGATCCACTATTATCAAGCTGCAGGGAAGAACAGAAGGAGGGTGGACTTCAAAGTATCAAGTATTAAAGCTCATGAAGTTCCACCTCTTCACAATAAATAGAGGATTCTGTTTTTTCTTAGAATGTTGGGAACTGCACCCAGAGCCTATGCATGCGGGGGAAGTATTCTATGACTGAGCTATAGAGGATTCTAAGAATAGACAGGTAAAGAGGAATGCCTAAATTCCTAAATTTCAAGGTGGCTTGAAATTTTGAAATTTCAGTAAAACCAACAAAGCCAAAAGGAAGTGAGGCTTCCCTCAGGACATATGAAATATGAATAAAATTAATGGTGAGGAAAACTTATTTTGCAGATATTAAAATGAACTGCAAATGGGAATACAAAGAATTTAAAGCTGGGCGTGGTAGCACACACCTTTGATCCCAGCACAAAGGCAGAGGTAGGTGGATCTTCGTTCAAGGCAGCCTGGTCTACAAAGTAAGTTCCAGGATAGCCAAAGGTACACAGAGAAACCCTGTCTCAAAAATCAAAACAAAAAAAGAATTTAACAGTGGGCCAGGAGCGGTGGTACAAAAACTTTTAATACCAGCCTGGTCTACACAGTGAGACCTTGACACTTAAAACAAAAGCCAGGTGTGGTGGTGCACACTTTTAATCCCAGCACCTGGGAAGTAGATCTCTGTGAGTTCAAGGCCAGCCTGGTCTACATAGTGAGTTTTAGGACAGCCAGGGAAATATAGAAAGACCTTGTCTCAAAAATCTAAAATGAAAAAAAAAGAAAAAGAAAAAAGAAGCAAAAGTTGAAGTTCAAGGAAGTTAAAATCAGAATACTTAAAAGCAAAAGAGAAAACATCTACAGCAAAAAAAGACATTTTTAAAAAACCAAATACTCCATGAAAAGATAGGCATAGAACACTAAGTGCCTCTGTTAAGGCAGAAAGACAAAAACTGTTGCAATAACTTACAGCTCACTGGAATTTTAAGAGCACTAGGTGTAGGTACAGCCCAATAATATAGCCTCTTCTTGCATCAACCTCGACTTGATCCCAAGAAAAGGGGAGCAAAGATAAAAGGAGCTAATACAAACGCAAATTACTAGAAGTCACTCTTAATTCAACACAGTAAAGACTAAATAAAGACTGCTCAACGCTGGCAAGAGTTGCAGAGACAAATAGCCCCATTTCGTGCAGGTGAGAGAACGTGCGATCTTCTTGGTACTCACTTGTCAATACCCATCAACATCCTTCAAAAACAAATATGCTCTGATTTCAGTTAGTGGTTGTGTTTCAAGTGACCAACGCCTCCTGGAGTCCCCAAGTACCTCGCAGGGCTCTACAAGGTCAAAGCTACTTTTTTTTTTTTTTTTACAAAATTATAAAATATTATTTCCCTTTCTATTCTATTGACATTTGTACCTATTACATACCACAGTGGGTAAATTTCAAATTTTTAAAATGCATTTTAATAGAAACAGAATTATATCACTTTCTATTCATCCCCTTCCAGCTACCCTCCCTTGAGACCCATACCCTACCCGTCCCTCCAGTTGCTAGATTCTTTAACTTCCAATACCCATCAACAAATTGAGGCTGGGATACTACAGACATATTCAAACTCATGTATACAAAACTTAAAAATAAAATTGCTATTTTACTTCAGAATGTTCACTAATCAGTGCTATTAAATCAAATCCTCTTAAAATTCTGAACACTGAATTTAGAAGTAAAGACAAAGACAATTTACCAAGATATGGTGGTATCTCCCTGGAGAAACTCACCTGACTGAGAACTGAGCTAACCATTTCCCCCCAGGAAAGATAATTCTTACTTGAATAAACAATGAATAAAATACGATTATTCAGATTTGGGTATCTGGCAGGCGTTTTTCCTCAGATATAAATGACATGAGCCTGTCATTTCAAGGAAAACAACCAATAGCATGTGTTGCCAATGATAAAATTTGAGGTTTCAAGGGAAAATTCAAATATTAGAAACCTCATCTCCATCACCATAGCATGACAGCATCAAATCTTACAATCTTACAGACTTCTAATGAGATCACTGATGAGATCACCAAATGTGGTATATATATATATATATATGTGTGTGTGTGTGTGCGTGTGCATATATATTCATATATGTATACACATACATATACATATATATTGTAGAATGAAAAGTGACAACATTTGGAAGGTCTGTATGGTTCCAAACCAATATTGTATAGGTAAAAGAATCACTAACGTTCAAACCAGGCCAGGATTACAATGCAAGAAGGTGATAAGTCTTTGATGGGGTTTCTTAACCCACATTATAGTCAGCCTTCAAGAAACTATCATTTCTTAAGGTTTTTAAAATCATTGTTGCTGTTTGTTTGTTTCCAAGACCAGGGTTTCTCTGTGTAGCCATGGCTGTCCCAGACTCAAACTCACAGCAATCTGCCTGCCTCTACCTCCCTGAATGATGGGATCGAAGGTGGGAGCCACCACACCCAGTTATTGTTAGATTTTATGTAATTAAAACATTCAGTCTTTTTTTTTTAATCCACAATTATCTTTAAAAAAAAAAAAAACTATTAAGTTACTCTTCTCTTTTGCAACTACATATGAGGCTGGTGTTTCTTGTTATGCTTTCTTTCTTCTTCTTTGGTGATGTGCACCTGTGCATGACCACGCCTGTGGGTGCACTCATCCATGTGTGTACACGTGGTGGCCAGATCCACATCAGGTATCTTCTCCTTTTGAGACAGGGCCTCTCAGTGACCTCCTCACCGATAGGGCTTCCAGTGCAACCCTCCCCCCTACAACAAGGTCAGGTGTGTCTCGACAACAGCCCATGTGTTAGTTTGCTTTCTGCTGCAACGACAAAACACCATGGCCAAAGAGGCAACTTGGGGAAGAAGGGTTTATTTCTGCTTATGGTTACAGGTCATCTGGAAGGGAAGTCAGAGCAGGAGCCTGGAGGCAGGAACTAAAGCAGAGACCATGGCGGGGGCAATGCTTACTAGCTTGCTGCCCATGGCATGCTCAGTGTGCTTTCTTACACAATTCGCGACCACCTGCCCAGGCTCCCACAGTGGGCTGCACCTCTCTCATGGCAATCACTAGTCAAGAAAAATGCCCCAGAAAAATGTCTGGCAGGCCATCTGATGGAGGCATTTTCTCAACTTGAGCTGCTCTGCTTTTCCATGGATGCTGGGGCTCCTCAGGTCCTCATATATGCTTAGCAACCATTTCACTCATTGAGCCATTTTCCCAGTGCCTCCTGTTCTCCTTTAGTCAGCACCATATGACAACCAGTTAAACGCAGAAGCTGATGCTGTGTCTTGTATTTAGGGCAGCCATTAAAGAAATTCACTAAATTATATTTGTCTTGACCTTTTGGGGAATTATGGCTATTATACATAAAATATGTTAACAAGTAATACACTGACTACTTTCAAAGCAAATTTAGAGGTATTTTATTTGTTTTTCAGCTTTAATTTATATTTTAGTAAATATTTACAAGTATAACCATACAAAGACAATATATATATATATATAAAAGGAAGAAAGAAAAAGAGTGGGGTTGCTGAGATGGCTTAATAGATCAGAGCCCTTGTCACCAAGCCTGAGTTCTACTGGAAGAACCCATTTGGTGGAGGGACAGAACAACTCCAAGTTTTCCTCTGACCTACACACACACACACGCACACACACCTTGACACATGTGGGCCCAAAGACAACCGAAACTGCCCAGCAATGTATACATATATAATCCATATGATATGTTACATGACACATGATATATATGCAGTTCTTATACCTTTTCCCTTGGGCGATCAGCCATAGAGAGAACTCAAAAAAATGTTAAAGACAATAATTAAATTCCCACTTGTCAACTGTGTTCTTGGACAGCAACCATGATAAAATCCCCTGGCTATGAAGGAATACTATCACCCTTAAGTATGGACAATACTGGAAAGATAGCCTTTCTGATAAGAGACTAGAAAAATTAGTCTACTAAATATCTGCTTATAAAAGATACGTTTTAGTTTTTATTGACACCGGTTATCCAATAACTTGCCCTTCTCAGTGGAACATCTCTGTGATGACACACTCAAGGCTATGTGTTATAGGCAGAAAGCTCTCCACTGGGGGTAACTATGCTCAAAACCATAACATGGTTTTGAATAAGAAAAAAAAAAAAAGAAAACTGTGTACAAAATGTTCTGTACCATTTAACGTAGTAGCTGTGATAACGCAGCTGTCCTGAACAGGTTCCTCAAGTAATGTTTGGGTCTCAGTTTTCAAATCTTTGGAATGAAGACCTGTTATTTAAAGTCTAAGAGACCTTTCCTAGCCACCAGGATAATCCTAAAATGCCACAGCAAAGTAAAGAGAAAAGTTTGAAGCTCACGGGGAGTATGTGTATGCATAATGAGAAGCCTTCAGACCTGGAGGTCCAAGCGGTCAGACTCAGAAGTATAATCCCTATAACTAATGTCCTCGACTATATACTAAGAACCTTTTCGTTGCAGAGTCAACAGCCCAAGGTCCTCTTTAAGCCTGGGCTCTCTTGTTTGTCACCAGTTGCAACCCCGAGTGGGTCCTCTGTTTACCCTTGATCTACCACCTCTAGGTGTCTATGCAAATTAGTAGCAAGCCAGTCTGATGAACCTCCAACTCACATTTTTGCTTTGCAAAGACCCCATTCCAATTATTTATTCATAGTGTCTGTGAATTAACCCCTGGACATTTATGAAGCACCTACTATGTGTACTTCCCCAATACGTATCAAGTTTCCAAGAAATACCTGTTGACCTTAATTCAATTGCAAGGCCTAGGGAGGCTCCAGGTGTCTCAGCCATAAAGTGTTCTGTGTGGTAAGCAGATGAAAGGGAAAGTGTACTCTCGTGATCCTCCCATTTTTGTATGACACGTGGCTCTTATGCACCGCTAGGGTGGCGGAACTGGGCTGAAGGGAAAAGGCTGTGAGATGGTGACTTACCTGGGGAACCTCTGCTTCAGCTTCCTCAGGCTCTGCCTGGTGGGCGGTACAGACACTAGGCACTGGGCTATCTCCTCGTACTGGGCTTTGGTTAGTATCATATTAGGCCCAAGGGGAGGGGGGGGAGGATCACCCTTGGGTTCGTGCAGCCTTGGTGCCAGGAAACAAGGGAAGGGCAGAGCGCAGCGCGACCCGGGGTCCTCCTCCTCCTTAGCTAAACCCTGTACCCCTAAAGCACACCCCCTAGCTGCACCGCGGGGCGGAGACTTGTCGCGTTCCAGGCTTCCCCTCCGCCGCAGAGGCGGGCTGTAGACCTGTGTGCGCCAGCAGAGCGTACTGAGCAGCCGCAGTGAGCCGGACCGAAGGCACCCAGCCGCCATCTTAGGTAAGGGCAGAGCAACCAGGAAGTGGCGGCTGCGAACCGGAGACTTCATAGTCTTTAGGGGCAGGTGTTCCCCAGCCTCACATCCCTGAGATCGGAACACGGACGTTCACTGGAGCCACATTGCCAGTTGCGAGTAACCCGGGGGGCCTGTCGCACAGGTCCAGGGGCGGGTATCACAGACGGTCCTCCAAGCCTTGAGCCGGAGCCCCGGAAGTCGTCTGCCCGAGCGCGGGATTTGAATTTGTTTCCAGGCACGCCCAGTTCTCGCCGCTCTGAGCCGGTGGCCTGCAGAGAAGCGAGGTCTCCGGTGAGCAGAAGCGGTGGAGGGGGTCTCAGCAAGCCTGCAGTTTGGCTTGTGCTGGGAAAGCCCTTCAGGCGCTCTCGTGGAAAGCAATGCTGTTTTTGTAGAGAACTTAGGAATGCTGCATCTTAAAACAACTGGCAGCAGATTGTCAGTTTCACCCCCTTACTCCTCAAGAAGTTTATTCCTGTCCACTAAAATAGTGGGTGCCCAATAATTGTGTAGATGGATGAACCGCGGAGTTACTATTTTTATAAATGGACCAAGTCAACATATTATAGCACCGGCCCCTCTAATTCCTTTTTCATAAACCTTTGCTTTCTAAGATGGACATGTGTTGTGTCCTCTTCAAATTTAAACATTTTGAGCAAATGGAAGAAAACCACACTTAAACGGTTTATGGTGTCTTTCATTTGAAGTAAAGCATAAGTTGGAAGGTTGGCTTAGGTGAGACCCCTTTGATGAATTCCTCAGTCCATCAAAGCTTCAGTTACTTTATAATAAAGTTTAACTCATGAGGCTGGTTTTAAGATTAAATAAGGTAGTCTGTAGCTATGTTATGAAATCATGCTGGCTGTCAGTCAACAGATGAGAGGGTAAACAAAGTTTGGTTTTTACAAACACAGTCATAAGGAATAATAGAGTGATGTCATATTCTGGGAAAAGGACTCAAATCTTTTGTGTTTCCTCTCATTTGTGGATTTTACATAGATCACAGATACACATATTTACACACATACATAATATATGTATACATATGTATATATACATATATATATATATGCAAGACAGCAGAGAAAGACTGAGAAAGCAATAAGGTTGGGGGGGGAGTGTTTGGGTGTAATACGCCTGAAATAATTTATATTTGTGAAGTCTATCACTATGCTTAATGATCATATGCCAATTAAAAACAATAAGACAGTAAAAATATACTTAGCGTAGCGTCCAGCAAATAGTCTATGCAAAATAAGTAAGGTGAGTAATAAGTTGGTTAAGTAAACTGGATGGGATGTTTACTAGATAGTGCTGTGTGGGTTCTCTTGTAAAGACTCACTTAATCCCCATAACTTCCCCTGGCCCAGGTTCTGTCCCCATTATGGCCCCGTCCTTCCTTTGTACGGGGTGAACAAAGGCATAAAAGGTCAAGGAACTTCACAGAGGTCATGAGAACAAGTAAATAGCAAGAGTGGGGTTCAAGTGAAAATTGGTATGTGGTGTTGCCGCCTCTCAACAATGCTTGATCACTTCATCCAATAGTCAGTCTTTTAAACCCAAAGGTTAAGGTTTTCTTTTTAAAGTAAAAACTCTAATTAAAAAAAAATTATATATATATATATATATATATATATATATATATATATATATATATGGATCTTTTCCCCCTCTAGGTTTTATTACTTTATTTTCTCAAGAGTTTCAAAAGTCCAGTACCAACAGTGGATTGAGCAAGCATTGCTAGTTTCTAGATCTTTACATCAGAATGTTTCCTTCCCATATGCTTTACATCTAGCTCTGGTTGTGTGACACTAGCACATAACTGTTATTTATGGCAGCATAGCCTGGAGTTGCCACCTGGCTAGTTTGCTGCTGACCCTGCCGTGACTTTTACATGAAAGCTGACTGACGAGAAACAGACACCACTTGGTTCCCCATTCCTTTCCCCTTCACAGCTTCACTCCTTCCAATTCACAGCCATCGGATTTTTATAGAAAACATCAGTTCAAGGATGTTTGCACTAGTTATTTTTATAGTAACTCCTCTCCTTGGCTCTTATCCTGCGCTCACCCTCACAACCCTTAAGGAAAATGCCAGGTTTGTTTTTGTGTTATTATTTTTAACATGCTGGCAGCTTACTATTTTGACCTAAATCCAGTAGATTGTTTATAGTTAGTGTTGGGAGAAAAGGAGAGTTATGTTGCTGTTTTCATTGGCAGTGACAGTAGCATTGTTTATTAAGTATAAAATAGAAGCTGGGCAGAACTGTTCTGTCGTGACTTGGTTGGTTCCTTTTTCGTCCTAAAGTGAAATGCTTACAGTTGGCTAAGTATGCACATGAGGCCTACTTTCTTCCTGCTTCTGTCCATTTTGTTTTATCCTCTCATCACAGCCTTGTGTCCCTCCTCTGCTATTGTTTATTTTAGGGCTTTCTCTGCATGCCTGAAGTCTGTGCCCCTCTTTCTCAGTCAGCCAGAAATACCATTTCCCCATTAAGTGATGGAGGGCTGTAAAATAAAAGCACAAAGCTAAAAATTAAACAAACACAAAACCATCCTAGCCTGCTACCTGTTTGGAATTGGCCATGGAATGTCTGATCTTAAACAACTGACAGACTCCTCTCATCCCGAATGCTCTGACTGTAAGCAAAGCAAGGGAGTATTTGGGTCTTATCTGAAAGGAGAAAAAAAAAAAAACTTAAAAATATATAAGGAAAGCATAATAGGGGGGAAGAATAAGTAGAGCCTGGTTCAAGACCCTGAAAAATCTACAGTTGCACAAAGGGGAAGAAGTTGAGCAGATTTTCTTGGACCAATCCCTGGATGATATAAATATTGAACATAGGAGGGATGGAGTGTGGAGGGAGGTATGTGGTCCTTTCATGAACAGTTCTAATACAAAGGGTTAAAATTAAGAATGTTACATGCCTGAGAAAAAGTATTTATACTGGAGCAAAGAGTTCTAAGCAGAGTTAAAGAGTGCCCGGCCTTGGAAAGACTCAGCCATGGTTTCAAATGGCCTACCAAATCTAATTCATGTTGTTAAAATCACAGGCATACTAGTTTTATTATATTGAAAACTCTGGTTCTATTCATGGGGTGTCTGTCAACATTCACACTAACAACTTTAAAGAATAGTAATTGGAAGTGTACTAACTGAACATGGGGAAAGAAGAATGCAAATGTTTTCTGAAAACATATCATAGGCAATTATTATCCCATTAATACCTTATGTCTCTGGATCGTCACAGTTATTCTGTTCAGTAAGGCTGATGGTTTATATATTGGAAACTGAAGCAAGATGTCTCATCAGTTAAGAACACTTGCTGCTCTTGCAGAGGACCTGGTTTGGTTCCTAGTGGTTGCATGGTTTCTCACAACCATCCATAACTCCCCGTTACAGGAGAAACAAGCATGATATCCATGAGCACCAAGCACACATGTAGTGTATATACAGACATGCTGGCAAAACACTTATACACATAAAATAAAGCTTAAACAAATAAAGTTTATCTGGAATGTCTAGCTACTAAACTGTAAAACCATGATTTGAACCCAAGATAATCTGACTATGAGATACCACCCTCTGTATCTCTATACTTTTTCACCTTTTGGTGACAAGTCATTTTATCCTAATCTCAAACAATAAAAGCTTCTGATAACCAATGAAGATTAAACAAAAGCCACTGAAATGAGTGGAGAAAAAAAAGAAAACATATAAAAAGACAAACCAACTATAAAAACGACAAGGAAGAATGAGACCAAATGCTGGTCTCCTTACGGAAGTCAGTGGGGAAGCTCTGTAAAATCAATGGTCTGATTCCAGAGGAAGGCCGGATGTCCACGGGGCTTTCACCGAGGTCAACTACAAACAAACTGTCCCATCTCCATGCAACTCAGGGTGACACCTCTTTGGGTCTTTGTTGTTAACAACCACTGCGGCACTTCCCAAAGGTAGGAACTGTAGGTGTCTTCTATTCGCTTAGTTACGGTAAAACGTTCCAAAAGAGCATTTCTCAAACTACTGATGTTAAACTCCCTATTTTTTTCTTCCATTTATTGCACACAAATTATTAAAATAGGATCAAACATGACTTTTTTTAAAAATGAAATTTGAAAAGATAGAGACAAGCCAGCAATTTGTTAAGATGGGACTCAGTAGAACATCATGCTTTTGCATTGAAAACTTTAATGCTTTCTGTATTCAGATACGTAACAAAACGTTTGACAACCATTGCTCACTTACAGACCACATTTTAAGCATCACTGTATCTTTTCAAGTCAATACCAAAAACCATATACACCCAAAAAGTACTAACTGCAGAATCTAGGGCGTCACACTTTCCATGACCTCTTAGTTGGGAATATAACTTGTTCCTTTTAGACTTCTGTGCCTCCACCGTTGCTATTATTATTGCCATTGTTCCATTGTGTTTCATTCTTCTCCACTGATGCACAGTTAGAAAAGTAACAGTATAAAATCTTTACAGTTTAAGTACTTGGTATCCATTTGGGCTAGTGATGTGGTTGAGAAGTACAGCACTTGCCTAACATGCCCAAGACCATATACAAATAAATAATTTGCACCTTATGAAATTTGCACCATGTGTTTTTACAGCACAAAGCCTCGGTTCTTCTTTAGACTATGAGCCCACAGTCAGAGCTATTCACCTTTTTTGTTTCAATCACAGTCAGGATGTATGGGAGCATGACAAAGACTATGACTTGGCATTTGCGCATTTACCATCATCATACTTGAGAAGAATAAAGAATAAAAGTGGTGTTTTTGCAGGAATAATTCCTCTTGGGTGTTTATATTATAACACGGGAAGGTACACGAACTGGTGTGTTGGGGAAAGATTGAAGCCTCCTAAACGTTGTCCTTAAGCTCATCGGGGACTTGCAGATAATTCACAGGCAATTTGTGTCCCCTATTCCTGCAGGACCAAAC